GATCTTGAAAGTAACACCATAAGCACTTGCGAAGGATGATACGATATTGTGACATTTGGTCCATGTGTTTTCAAACTGGTGTATTTTAAGGCACTTTTTCATTATAATATATAATTTCTGTACAACTTTCAAATGTTTGTAAGTGTCTTTTAAAAGTTTGGGACGAAGGTCTTTTTGGTATGAGGAAGTTAATTTGTGTGGGATGGTATTCATTGCTGCATCTATGATGCATTTCTGCAGGTTATTTCAAGAAAAATTAAGTTTGGGTTTGGTATCAAAATTAAGAGATTCCATATGAGCTAGAGGGATTTTTCAATGAGCTTGTCATTTTTTAGACTAAATTGAGACCATTGGTTATTATCTATAAGATCGAAACTAAAGGTCAATTTTTTGATTGCAGTTGTAAGGTTAAAGGATGCTGCAAAAGTTTGTAGATGAAGTTCGATATAAACAAGATTGTGGTCAGTGTGTTGTGTATTGATGGGTAAAACTGAATGGTGGATAAAATCAGTAATGAGATCAGATGAAACGAAGATGTGATCGATTGTGGAAGTTGAATGATTTCTGTTGTAGGAATGTAAGCTACTTTTAATTTCACCTGGAGAAGATAGGGAGAAGGTGTTCGTTAAGTTAAGGTTTTCAAGACTATTAAAAAATGTGTCTGCGTATTTTATATTACGTTGTCTGAAAGGGTCTGCATTCAGTTCCCCCATTAGAATTACTGACATATTATTTTGGTATGCGTCAAGAATCGATTTTGTAATCAAAGTGTATATTTGTTTCTGTAAAAGATCGTTCGATGCAGGTGTATATAAATTAATGATACGTAAACGATGTTTATTTCAAAATTGAAAGTTGATTACTTAGTATCTTCCTTTAATAGATACGTGTTTGTAGATATGATCTGCAAGTGACTTTTTTATAATCATACTGGTTCTAAAGCCACATTTTTGTCCATCGTGTTGGATGCTAAAGATTAAAGTGTGTGTTTGTGGGAGTGACCGTGAGAGTGTTTTTTGAAATGCTGGTATTGAAAAATTTGTTTCTTGAAGAGCGACAATATCAAAATCGTGTAAATGAAAGAGGTTGAAGATGTATTGTTGTTTGCTTTTGTCAGTAAACGACCTGACGTTTAATGTTCTTAAACAGATGTTCTTCATTAATATTATTCGTATCTTGGTAGAATTACAGTACCTTTTTCATTTCTAAAGACAGTATCAGGGCTATTAAGAATGGGAAGTGGGGTTTTCTTTTGAGGATCAAGGTTGAAAGAACGATAAACAAGGTTTTGTAAATCGGCTACAGTTTTGAGGGCATTATTTAATTTTTCGACATTTTCTTTCAAATTTGCTTTTAATGTGACATTTTCTTCTTGTATCGATTTGGTGTAACCTTCAAGATTGAGAATAGTGGATTCAGATGTATCGACTTCTGCTACGTACTTATTGTCATCTTCCATTCGTTCACCATCTTCTAGTTTTGCTTTCTCAGCCTCATTAAGTTCTGCAGCTTTCTGTGGGATGAGAGTGAAAAAATTGAGAGATTTCTCGATCTGTTCCACTCTATATATAATGAAATTGAGGTTGTTATATATGTTAGCTAGATGGTCATTCATCGTCTTCATTTGTAGTAAGATTTCATCAAGTTTCTCTGGCGAGTGACTTTCGTGAGACTCGTATGGTAGATCAAATTGGCTAGAATTATACATTTCTTCAGTCTGTTCAGCCCATTGTGTATGCGCATGTATACTATCATCGAGTGAGCGATTATCATTATTTTTATTTTTAACCCAAATTGGCATTACTTTAGGTATTGGTAGTATATTAGTGTTTGTCGTAGTGCTGCGGGGGTTTTGTTGGTGATTAGTATTGTTAACAATGAGATTTTTTAATGTTTTGTTATTGGTATAGAGTTTGGGTTTTGGAGGAGACGCAGTATATTTGCGAAATTGTGCGGTTGGTATTTTTGATATAAATTTTGAGTCTGACGATCTGAAGGTGATGATCTATTACGTTTACAATTTTGAGATTGATGTCCTGGTATTGAACAGATATAACAGCATTTTTGACCAGGATCAGTCCAAATAAGTCTTTTTTTGTCGAGAATTAAACTATCACTATTTTTCACTGCTTCTAAATCGATCTGATTGCGAAAATAAAATACAGCATATTGAAGATTACAATATGTGGCTTTTGATTTAGGGATAACCCATGATAATGCGATGGTAGCCTTTCCGATAGGAATCAAGTGTCTTCCATTGGTATTGACTGGAAGGTTAGTAAGTTTTAGAGAAAATTTTGATTTTCTCTTACTGCTTCGTTGGAAAGTGAAACGAGACTAAGTCGAACCATATCTTTAAAGATGAAATAACTATGACAGTATTAGAATTGTTGCATATCAGTTGTTTCGTCATACGTAACTGTGGCTTGTTGCCACAAATTTTTGGTGATCATTGAACATCTAGTAATCTTGCCAAAAAGGAAAGAGAAGATCGAAGTACTGTCTCAATAGTCGAGATCGGGATCTCTATCACCTTGATCGACAATTCAGGAACAAATTTTACGATTGGTCGATTGGTAAGAGGTAAAAAGGTGATATTATCCAAATAGGAATCTGCATAGCAATAGCCTTTTCGTATTCAACATGAGATGTAAATCCAACTCTGATGATTTTCTTTGTATTGTTGTCAGGAGAAATTTTGATTGAAGCACTAATGAATGCCGGGAACTGCGATCTGTTAAAGAGAGCATAGGCTTCGTTAATCTTTTTTTTGTTAGATTTAGAGGAAAAAATTTTTCAGCGTAAAGCGTCGAAGTATCGTTATTGCGTTCAAAAGTTAATACATTTTTGTTATTTTTTGAAGATTTAAGCATGTTTTCTAAAGCGTCATAGGCTTGGTCCTCATCTAAAATAGTAGTAGTAATATGTGGCAGGGAAATTTCTGGGTTCTTTTCTTTTTCTTTTGAGAAGTTGTCAACTGAAGAAATAGGTTCTGTATCCATAAGTACAGGTGGAGGTAAATTATTCGGGGTCGAGGATTCTTGTTGCTATAATTGTTGTTGGTTAAGAAGTTGTCGTTGATATGTAGTTTCTTCTTCCATGGTATCTTTTTTTGCTTTTTTAGTCGAAGGTCTGTTCGCAACAGGCGACTTGGAATGGTTGCGTTGGTTGAACGGTATAACAGGCGACTTAGAACGGCCGCGTACAGTGGACTGTTTTCTTGCCTTGGAGGCATATGGTTGAGTATTTATTATTTTATTTTTTATTATTTTTTTTAGAATTTTTGGGGAGAGAGAGAGATTTTTTTTTTTTTTGACAGTTATCACAATTTTTAATATATTTTCTAATATCTTCAAATATCTGCGACCAATAATATCGATCTTTAGTTTTATGATAAACAGCTTCTACTCCTAAATGGGCTCCAGTCATATTCTTATGTAGGTTAAAGAGAATCACTTCTACTTGATCACATGTTATTACTCTTTTTAGTCTATCCTTTGTTAGTTTGTATAATTATGTGTTTTTAACTACGTAGTGGGTTGATAATCGTTGTATTTGTTTCCGTTAAGAGTTGTCATAATTATCTGGATATATGAAGTCAGTGAGATATTGAATTATATCATTATATTGTTGTTTATCCATGATCTATCATTGATGTTGATTTGAGTGTATTTGGTGTCTATAATTCATTAATCTGTGATAGAGTGTCAGCATTAGCGTTAGCCTTTCCTTTGCGATATTTTACTTCAAATTGAAATTGTTGTAAGATAATTTTCCATCAGATAATCCTTTTACTATCCTTTTCTTTCGTTGGTTGATTCAATAACCATTGTAAAGCCGAATGGTCAGTATAAATAGTAAATTTATTATCTTCCAAATATCTTCTGAAGTATTTTATTGCCCATATAACTGCCAGTGCTTCCTGTTCAGTAATATGATAATTCTTTTCGGCTGGGCTCAGTATTTTGCTTGCATACCAAATAGGATGTTCTCTATTATCCTTATCTTTTTGTGATAATACTACTCCTAATTCCGTTATGCTAGCATCAGTGCTTAATATGAATGATTGATCGAAATCAAAATAATATAGTATCAGTACAGTTGTTAATTTTTCCTTTAATATCTCAAATATTTCCTTCTGCTGTTTCGTCCAATTGTATTGTACATTCTTTTTCAATAGGTTGTTTAAAGGGTTACTAATTTAGAAAAGTTCTTAACAAAGTGTCAATAATAAGAGAATAATCCTAATACAGTTCGTAATTGCCTAATATTGTATAGTGCGTTAAGATTAACAATCTTTTCAATTTTTGCTGAATCTGGTTGTATCCTTTGCTCTGAAATAACATGTCCTAAAAATTGGATTTTATTATCGCAAAAATGACATTTCTTAGGATTTATCTTTAAGTTAGCTTCTCTTAATAAATCAAATACATGTTGAAGGTGTTGCAAGTGTTCTTCATAGCTTTTGGAAAATATGATGATACCATCTATATATACAAGTACAAATTTTTTTTATATGTCGTAGTATATCATCCATGGCTCTTTGAAAGATAGCAGGTGCATTATACAGCCCAAAAAGCATAACATTAAACTTGTATAATCCATATTTAGTAATAAATGCTGTTTTAACTTTATCCTGTTCTCTAACCTTGAACTGCCAGTATCCTGAGGCTAAGTCAAGTGTTGTATACCATGTTGCTTCTCCTAAAGATTCTAATAATTCATCAATCCTTGGTAATGGGTATCGATTTTTTATAGTGACATCATTCAATTTCCTGTAGTTTATGCAAAATCTTATTTTTCCATTTTTCTTTCGTATGAGCACTACTGGCAAACTCCATTGGATTTGTGATGGTCGTATTATTTTCTGCTCTAACATACTTTTGATTTTTTGTTAAATATACTGATCATCTTTACTTGATGTTCAATACGGTTTTAATGCAACTGGTGATACCTCTTTGATAAATATACAATGTTCGTATTGGTCAGAATATATAAACTCTTGTATAGTAGTAGCAAAACTATTAATATTTCTACAAAGGAAATCTTTTAATTTTGTTATTACATCAGTTGATAAGTTTTCACATGTAGTATATTTTCCTGTGCTTTTACCAATTTCTATATGAACATCATTTTCTTCAAGTTGAACCCTATAAGCTGATTGTATTCTTATGCTATTCCTATAATATTGATATGTTTGAACATCCTTCATGATTCCCTACAATTATCACATTGACTTCCAGCTTTTATTGTTTTTAGACACCAACATAGAGCTGGTCCTTTCCAATTTTTGTTCTGTTATACATTCAATTCATATTCTAAGTGTTATAGGTATATTTTAGGATATTTCTTTCTATTGATATGCATAGTGTGTTCCTTTTCCTTAGGGATGATAGCAAAGCATCGTTGTATATCAATATCTTCATCCTTATCCTCAAATTCAAGTTCATCTGAAGTTACTTTGGCCATTATGAGTGTAAATCTCCCTGGATTTATATCTTGAGTGCAGGTTATCAGTGTCATAGAAGTTTACTTTTCTTGTTGTACTGTTAATATACTTGCTTCAAAATCAATAATGGCATTGACTTTTTGTAACCATGTATTGCTCAGGATAACGTTATACCCTGTAGCATTGGTTACTAACATATCTTCGTTGATTGCTATTCCATCGACTTCTATTGGCATCCCCTTGATCATTCCCATTGGTATTATGACACTTCCCACAGATCCAGTATCGATTATAACATTTACATTATATCCATTTATTTTAGCTTCAATATATAGGGCATCCTTGACTGGTTCATCCTGACTCGTGTAAGTAACAACAGTCTGTTCCTTTAACTTTGTCACAAATAATTTCCCAAATTTATTATGCATTGGTGTTAATTCATTTAATCCAGCCATTTGTAAATATTCATCGAATTCAAAGTGTTACCATTCATTATGCTTGGTTGGTTTAGTACGTTGTAGTAACTCATCCTTCAACTTAGTTTTATATACATCACAATTATAAGTAGGGTGATTTAAAATGTATTCTAAGCGACCTTTATTCAATTTTATTCCTGTTTTTTCATTGATTTCTTTTATCATTGCTGTTGTTGACGATTCTCCCATTTCTATTTTTTCGCAAACTATTTGTCATAAATTATACATTTCCTTTTTAGGATCTATCCTTTTTGATAGATGAATTCCTTTGTTATTATATAAAATTCTTAATACATATTTAGGCCTTTTCTGTATGGTGATTTCTCCTTGTTTTTGGAAATCCATTATTATAATAGGCCGGTTTTTATCAAAAATTCTTTCTTCTGTTACTGGATCTTTCCATTTGACTTCCTTACAATTACATCTTGCAGCTATTTCTTGGGCTATCTTTTTACAGTTAATACATACTATGTGACTATGGTGGTCATATTTTTCGCAATTAGAATGATCATATTTGTTTTCATATGATCCACCAAAGTGTATTCTCGACACTATTCCTTTACAAACATATTGTACTTCTATTAAATTAGTTCCTTCAATCAGTATTTCATACTGAGTATTTCCTTCTTCCATTTTTAGGGTTTTGGTTTGTTCGCAAGCTCCCCCCTGATAAGTGTGACCTCTAGTTTAAATTTTGATGTAATTGTTACTGTTATTATGGTTATTTTTGTTATTATTGTTATTACTATTCCAGCGATTTCTGCTATTACTATAGTTATTATTATTATTGTTATTCCAACGGTCTCTACTATTATTGCGGTTATAATTTCTATTAGTCCTATTATTATTATTATTATTGTGAAAGTTTCGACTTCAATTATTATCATTATTATTGCTATTGCTTCTACAATCATGTGCAAAGTGTTCTTTATATTTACAGTTAAAACATTTATTATTAGATTGATTATTATTATTTCAACTACCTTAATAATCTCTAGCAAAATGCCCAAATTTTCCACAATTAAAACATTATTGAGGTTGGGGTCGTTGTGATTGTTGACTTTGTTACTGCTATTGTTGTTGTTATTGCTGTTGTCTGATATTAGCCATTATAGCTTGCAATCCTTCATTCAACTTTTAACTGATAGTACTTTCTATATCAGGATGCTGAATAACGTAGGAGTTAATCTGCATTACAATGTTTGTTTGCACAAGGACCATTCCTCCTTGTAACAGTTGCATATAATTTGGCATCAGGGAATATGCGGATAATTCCATTCCTATTGAATAGGCAGATTCTACCGCTCTGGCTTTTTCAATTGTTTGATCTACTATTGTAGGCATAGCAGTTTGTACTGGAACCATGAATTCAGGTCATAACCCTTCAATAAATTCTGCAATTCAGTCTATTTCAGCATGTCAGTATCATGGGTCTACTCTTTTTCATAGTTCTCCCATGGCTGCCGCATATTCTTCAATTGTTTCTCCTGCTTTTTGCTTTCGATGTCTCAATTGATGCTTCTATTGATTCTGTCAGAAGGCGTTGCAAAAATATTGTTAAAATAGTGGTATAAATGAAGTGCCAGGGTTCGTCCTGCTATTCCAATAGGTAATATTTTGTCATTGAAACTATGTCAGTGCAGTTCCTGTTAGGTGACTAGGAACTATTTTTATCATTCTGGTTATACAAATTCGGTTTGTTCTACATGCTCGTTCGAAAGCTTCAAGCCATTCTACAGGGTCTTGGTTTCCTCCTCTAAACGTTAGCAAATCTACTAACTGTTGTTCTCTAGTTTGCTGCCCTTGCAACCATCCTGTTAATCCCTGTAATACTTGGAGGTATGCATTATCTTGTACTGGTGGTAGGGGTACAGGTTGTACAGGTTGAGGCCATACAAATGGTTGTGGTTGTTGTGTTAGTTGAGACCATACGAATGGTTGTGATGTAACAGGCAGTTGATTCATTGTAGAGGTCAGCTAAGCAGATGGTTGTACTACTGAGGTGACTTGAATTATACCTATCGTGTTCTGTCTAATAGTTAATTATCCCTCAGATTACTTTGAGCGTATATAAATAGTTGAGATTGATTAAAACTGATCCTTGTCATTTGGATTGGATTAAGTGATGGAGGGTTAACTGGAGCAAGTGGGTCAAATATATTACCATAGGAGGTTTGTTGAGCTTGTGTAAAATTATATACGTTTGGATTTGATACGAAGGTGTTGTTTGAAGTTAGCCCATTACTGGTATTTAAATTTCCTGTCTGTTGGTTTGACGAATTATTACTTCTACTAAGTCCAGCTATGTTGGGTTGACTATTTGGATTAAATATACTATTTGGTTGAGAAGTTAACCTTATGACAGTAGAGGATCCTTCTTCTGTATTTAGATTGAATAAGACTTGTTGGCATATTCTATTTAGCATTCTTCCACTTTTAATTACATTCGCGTTGTTAAAGAAAGAGTCTCCTTGTAGATTCTCATCATCATTATTATAATACCCAAACCCTATATCTTGTTAGATGTAGGTTTCTTCTTCATCATCTTCATTATACTGTGAAAATGTATTGCTTACTCATGGATTTGTTAGCGTTAGTGATTGGTTCATTATAGTTGGTAGTATATTATTTGGAGAGTTATCACTGCTTCCTCTGACTATTATTGTGTCATCCTGACTTCTACTCATTGTGCTCTCAGAACTTATATTTGTACTGATACTGATAGTTGGACTGCTACTATCTACACTTTCAGTTTCCCAAGATTGAAATCGGTTAGTCTGTATCCAAACCTGATACAAATTATCTGCGATTTTATCAAATGACTTTTTCAATGAGTTATCCCTATATCTGATTATAATAATAATTTTTCTTAATAGGTATTTTAATAACTGTTCTCTTTCTGTGTAGTTTTCTTCACTTTCTTGTGCTCTTATAAAATATGCTATAGTAAAGGTTGTATATGATTTAGCATCGTACTTGGGTGTAATCCACAAGAATCAAAAGTTATCAAATGCTGGTAATTTTCCTGATTGAGTTTCGTAATCTGGGTGATACTGTGGACAAGACTGATCTAGGTGACTGATAAATCTAGTTTTATGGTTATGTGCTGTGATATGTTGTTGAATGGTCTGTAAATATTCCTTTTCAGTAATATGCTCTGTGTTGAAACCCTCCAGTGTGCTTAAGATTCATTGTTAAAATAATTGTCACTGAATACTAGCTCATTCTACGTGGGTTGAATTTTATGAAAAATGATAAAGCGTTTTAAACTGTCAATATTATTTTGTAATCTTTTGAGACTATTAATTAGAATATTTTGCTTTTCCTCCAATAATCTGTATTGGTTCCTGATTTCGTTGATTCATAGTTGCAATTGGAGAAGAATAGGTCTTACTATTACTTTAAGTTGTCTAACTGTTTGTGCATATGATGTACCTTTTGTCAGATTGGATTTATGATCCACCCAATCCGCATCAAATTGTTATCTTACAATACTAACGACTGAAAATTAGTATTGACGTAAGATTAACAAAGGATTTAGCTTTATGGTTTATAATGCAAAATTTATGGAGAGCTTTTAAAAGTTTATTGATCAAATGTATTTTAGGTTAAGGTATGATTATGGGTTAAGTGATTTAGAGTTTTATTAAAGAAAAGAATTATTATAAGTGTATTTGTTAGCATACAAGTGTATCTAGTAATTATCTTGTTGACGATAAAACTAAGTAAATTCTCTGTCGTTTATGAAGTTCTAAAACTATCCTATTTATAAGAAATTTGATAATATAAATAAATAAAATAAAGAAAATATAAGATATATAATCGATTATTAATGTTAATTAATTATTAATGAAAAAGAAGGTTCCGGCGTCTTCTAGGTTTTCACATAACTTTACTTCTAAGATATTTGCTATTTCTTAGATATCTGGCATATATGATATTTCTGGCATAACTGGCATATTTTGCAGATCTACCAGAAATGGCAGATATAGCAGATACTTAGCATAGTAGATCAGGTGATTTATTCTATTGTCGTATGATTTGCAGTTGACTCTTCTATTACAACATGATTATTTTAAATTTAGGATTTAGATTAAAAAGAATTTTAGTTTATTTTATTTAATTAATATAATTTTTTAGGAATTTATATTAAGGCTTTTTTTTTGCTACATATAAAAAGGTTTTGATTTTTATTTTTGATTATAATTTTTGGTTTTTAATCTTTTTATGAAACTTATAAAATATTTTTTTATAAATTACGAATTATAATTTTACTTATTTTTTCAT